AATGAAATGATGTTTGTAAGACACTTTGTAAGCCTTTAGTGTCTGTGATATGATGGAGGCGGCTTCTACCAGAAAGCTGATTGTTAAATTGTGACTTTTTTACAACTCAGAAATCCCCAAACTCTACAAATCAGGATTTGATTTATTGTCTTGTTTATTGTCAAGATTTAAGAAAGTGACGGAGAAAATGTTAATAATATACATTAAACTTAAAAGTATGTTTGTATACATTCCCCCTTACACACTGGAAAATCAATTGGTAAACACCAGTATGCCCCTGATTTAGGGGGTTTTATAAAAGTGAATTACTATTATTGTGGCATATTTTGTATAAGATCAAACCCCAAGTCAAATCCTAAAGTAGGAAAAGGATTGTGTTTCCTTCCTTCCTGGCTCTTTCTACTCTCAGGGCCCCTGCCTGCCAATCCCTTTCTCTTTGACATTTACTTGGCTTTCCCTTACTAGAAAATCAACTTTGTAACTGGATGACGTAGTGAGGAATAAGGGGTGATTGATGAAACTGGGAAAGCCATAAGGAGTGAAGTTAATGAGACATAACAAAGGCATAATCAGGGAATTTTCCCCAATATCTACTATATGCTCAGGGTCCAGGTCAATGCCTTGGATATAATTGGTGTTTAATTCAATTTCATCCAGGCTCAAGACCAAAGGAACCAAAAAACAAACAAGGTCAATGAAAGGAGGTTTGAGAAGGAGTGAGATTATCAAGTTCTTGGAGAGATGATTTTTTTAGGGGGAAAAGTCATTTTAAAAAATTCTTGGATCCTTAGTAATATTTTCTTTTTATTCTTTCCTTTGTGAGACATGTACACCCATTCTGCCCATCAAGCACAAGAAGCAATGATTCATAAATCCTAGAAATGGAGGGTGGAGAAAGATCTCCCATCAACCTTTGGCCTCCCAGGCTTAAAATGAACCAAAGAAGATAAGTCTTGAATGGATATCAACTCTTATGTGATGTTAAATATCAATTCTTATGTAACATATCAAACAGGTGCTTCTTCTTTAAGAGACCATATAGTCTAGAAAGGACCTTATAGGCCATAGGGTCCAAGTTCTTCATTTGAAAAGATCAGGAAAGTGAAACTCAGAGAGAAGTCAGGTGACTTGACCAGGGTCACATAGCTGGGCAGTATCTGAGGGGAAATTTGAACCCAAATTGACTCCATGTCTAACATTTTCTCCTTGACCTCATACTAGGCTAGGAGATGCTATGGAAATGGTGTACTACATAGGTAGAGATGCTTAACTGGGGCATAGGCCTCCCTAAGTGATGTGAGAAGTGAGCGAAGTTTCTGGACAAATGGGAAAATTTTATTTGGGGGCCCAGAATTTAAACTTATGACACAGTGCTTTCTTAGTTCCATGACAGCCTCAGTAAGGAATAGTGCTGCTGACTTGGTCTTGAGCCTGGTCTTCCTTTGGGCCATGATGAGAGTTGGGGGTGGGGTAGGTATGAATTAGTTGAGTGCTAATGAGCCATTTTGTTGAATCATTATGAAGTCAAGCCATCTACACCTATCACCCCTACAGGTATAGATGTGAAACCTATTCCTCCTTCCCAATCAGACATACACACATAATTAAAATTGCTTTCTTGAGTCAATAGTCAATAAACATTTATTTAGCACCTAATGTGTGCCAGGCATGTGCTAAGTGCTGGGAATATGAATATGAAAAAAGAAAGATGGTTCCTATCCTTAAGGAGCTTACTGTTTAATAAGAGATGCTGTTGTTCAGTCATATACGACTCTTAATGACCCCGGTATTGAAGTGGTTTGCCATTTCCTTCTCATTTTACCGATGAGGAAACTGAGGCAAACAGGGTTTAGTGACTTGCTGAGGTTAACACAGTGAGTAAGTGTCTGAGGCCAGATTTGAACCCAGGAAGAGGAGTCTTCTTGACCTCAGGCCCAGCACTCTATCCATTGTGCCACTTAGCTGCCCAGAAGTAACGTATAGAGAAAAGCTAAACAGGGTCTTGTTTTCTCCAGGATTCGGGAGCCAAAAAGGCTGGGAGTGAGGTAAGGAGGTACCCCACGTGGGAACACAGTGAGGACGTCAGTCAGAAAAGTCCCAAAATAATACAGCCAGGCAAGAAATAATGATACGTCTGAGTCCCTCAGAGGAATGGAGAAATCTTGGGTTTGTGATACAAAGCAGCACAGTGTCCTTCCAATGACGTCCTCTGGGGCAGGGTCAACCCAAGGGGTGCATTGCTCAACCTCTTGCCTGGTGAAAAGTTCATAGAATCATAGACTTAGAGACCTCTGAGTACAACAATGCTTATTTTACAGATGAGGAAACTGAGGCCCAGGGAGATTAAGTGGCTTGCCCAAAGTCGCACAGATAGTAAACGTTAGAAGTGAGATTTGCACCTAGGTCCTCTGGCTCTAGAGCTAATACGGCCTGGGATGCCTTGTAGCATATGTGCCTTTGTTGGAGCTGAGAGGAGCTCCCCTTGTCCCTGATCTGGGGGAAGCCCTGACTCTTCAAATGCATTAGATAGATGGGTGGGGAGGACTGGCTGGAACACCCTGCAATGGTGTCGATCTGGATCCCCCAGACAGAGATACTGCAGGGGAATATTTATGGACTCGTGGGGGTGGTGGGAGAGGGTGCCTTTGTTTCGAATCCAACCATTAAAAAGGCCCTCAGGCCAAGTAGAACCCTCGGTAGGCTAAAAATAAACCTGGGTTTGCTTTTGCCCACGCCCTCCCGTAGCAGGCTGGCTGGGCATCCGTGGAAAATGAAGTCTCTGAGTGTTGGTAATTCTGCGCTGGACTAGTCCCTGCGCGTCTTGTCTTCCCAGCTCCTACCCCACGGGAGGTCCCAGGAGGGGCGCCTCTCATTTAGGGGCAATGCTTCGCTGCCAGCTCCCACCTCCGAGCTCTCTTTTAATCCCACCTCCCCAAGATCGAGTCTCCAACAAGGCTGGGCTCTGGAGCTGGGCGCCCGCCAGTCAGTCTGGCCAGAGAGGGAACTATTTTGGGAATTTTTATGATGGAACAATATTTTTTTGGTAAACAAATGGAAAGTTGTTGAACGGGGACGCTCACCCCTAGCTCCTGGTTCACCTCCCTCACTGCTGAGGTGTTACAGTAGCTGCACTGTCCAGCCTGGAGAATACCCACCTTCCCTGCTACTCACTGGGAGGGGCAAGGTCATCAAGTGGGGAGGTGGGAGGGCAGGGCTTCCCTCTCACCTTTCCCTCATCTGTCTCTGGACTCCTCAAAAACAGTAGCAACAGAAGAGTACTGCCTGTGGAGTCGTTTTCGAGGTCTTGGGTGGTGATGGCTGGGTACCAAGCAAATTAACTCTTGAGGTGCCTGAGGGTGCATTCAACTCAACGATTAACTTTCTTTAAACCACCCACCCTCTCCTGTGAACCATGGGAGACGGAACTGGTGAGGCACAGAGTATCATGGTGGCTAGGTAGATGGATAGATAGATGGAGAGAGAGAGAGAGACAGAGAGACAGAGAGACAGAGAGAGAGACAGAGAGGCAGAGACAGAGAGAGACAGAGAGACAGAGACAGAGACAGAGACACAGAGACAGAGATAGAGAGAGACAGAGAGACAGACAGAGACAGAGACAGAGAGAGAAGGGGGAAGAGAGGAGAAGAGAGGGGGGAGAGAGAGACAGAGAGAGAAGGGAGAGATGGAGAGACAGAGAGAGACAAAGAGACACATTCATGGAGAAAGACAGAGAGAGGAGAGACAGAGAGAGAAGAGGGAAGAGAGAGAGAGACAAGGAGGAGAGAGAAGAAGAGAGGGAGGAGAGAGAGACAGAGAGAAGGGAGAGATAGAGAGACAGAGAGAGACAAAGAGACACACTCACAGAGAAAGACAGAGTAAGGAGAAACAGAGAGAGAGGAGGGGAGAGAGAGACAGAAAGGGAGAGAGAAGAGGAGAGAGAGAGAGAGAGAGAGAGAGAGAGAGAGAGAGAGAGAGAGAGAGAGAGAGAGAGAAAGAGAGAGAATACTTATTAAACATTTATTCTGTGTGAGGCTGGGGAACCAATTAAAAACTAACAAGAAAATTCCAACCCTCAAGGAGCTTATTCTAATGAAAGAAGACAAAACATAAAAAGGCACTGGAAAAGGGAAGGGGGTTGGAGAGGGTACAAAGCTGTACAAGAGAGAAGGTGAGGCTGTTGCTAGGGAGGTGAAGTCCATAAATGAGTTGAGCAGAGAGTGAAGTGAGCATGACTGAGACCCCCTCATGAAATGGTGGTCCAGGTTAGGGATGAGCCAACTGGGAGAGTAAGCCTTAGGGCACTGGAAAAATAAAAATCCAGAAGTCTCTACCTAATTCCATCACTGACTTTTGGGCCCTGGTTGGGTACTGCCACTGACCTACCCTATTCCTCAGTTATCCCATGTGATAAAATAAAATAGCCAATATTATCTACTTCATAGGGATTCTATATAGATCTTATTTCAGAAGGTGGTTGATTGCTTGAGTATGGCAGGTACCCAGGAACACCCTCTGAAGATGACTGAATGACCACATCCAAGGCTGAGTAAGGTAAGGGGCCAAGTGGTGCCCTGGCCCCGGGGGAGATAAGAAGAAAATATGCAATGTGTAAAAACTGATTATAGGACAAAGACAGGCTTCTGTTCATTTTTTTTTATTTGATTATTAGCTAGTCAGTGTGGCATAAACCCTTGAATCAGGACTATGATTATGGGGGAAAAAGTTTTTGTTTGGGTTCTAGATTTCCCTAGTCAGCTAATGGGGCCAAGGGCCTGGACTTATGATTCCCAGAAGAGACTGTGGGATGAAGAAATTCCTTTTTTTTCTTTTTAAATGCAGGCTAGCACTTTCCCTGCAACCTATGGCCTTAGAGTCTCAAGAAATTAAGTGACTTGCCTAGGGTCACAAAAGTAGGACTTAATTATTCCTGGTCTTCTTGACTTGGAGACCAGTTCTCTATCCACGATCCCATAGCAGCTTATAAAGAAAGAAAACAAACCAAAAAACCAACTAGATAGCACAGAATAGGTGCCAATACCTTAACCATCTCTGTGTGACAAAGTTTATTAGGACTTCTTCCATTCTCATCAAAGGAAGCTGTTAACCTCTCCTCTCATATAATACAATCAGTACCCAGTAGAGAAAATCCACACTCATATGAAAAGAAAGGTAGTTCAGTCTTTAAGCTACTTACTTCCTCCATCCTTCCCTGTGTTCTTTGTAAGGGACAAGAATTAGTAAGGGGACTTTAAGGCATTTAGGTAGTACAGAGGGTAGGAGAACTAGGCCTGGAGTCAGGAAGACCTGAGTTCTAATCTGGCCCCAGACACTGTGTGTCCCTGGGCAAGTCACTTAACTTCTGGTTGCCTCAGTTTCTTCATACGTAAAATGGGGATAATAATGACACCTACTTACCAGGGTTGTCATGAGGGTCAAATGAGATAACTGTAAAGTGCTTGGCATATTGTTGTTGGTGTTGTTGATTCATTTCAGTTCTATCTAACTCTCCATAACCCCATAGGAGGTTTTCTTGGCAAAAATAATGGAGTGATTTGCCATTTCTTCTCCCCCTTCTTTAACCACTATATAAATGGCAGCTCGGTGGTACAGTAGATAAGAGTGCAAGGCCTGGAGTCAGAAAGACCTGGGTTCAAATTCAGCCTCAAACACTTACTAGCTGTGTTGACTCTGGGCAAGTCATTTAACCCTGTTTGCCTCAGTTTCCTCATCTGTAAAATGAGTTGGACAAGGAAATGGCAAACCACTTCAGTATATTTGCCAAGAAAACCCCAAATGGGGCCGCAAAGAGTAGGACATGACTGGACAACAACAATACTATTATTATTTAAGCAGAGGCTGAGTAACCACTCATAGCAGAGATGAGATCACCTCTGAAGGCCCTTCCAACTCTGAGATTTTGTGAGTCCAGTAGCTGTGTGGCTTAATGGAAGGAGTACTAAACTGGAGGTCAAGAGACAAAGGTCCTAACTGGTGCCATTGCCTTGCTGGGTGAGCTTGGGAATTCCACTTAGCAAATCTAGTGAATTGACTCACCTTACTTGAGTGTATGATGGAAGGCTAGGGCATGGTCCATGGCTCTAGAGAACCTACTGTTTTGGCCTTTTGGAATCTTAAAAATTTACACTTATGTAACTTAAGTCCTTTTAATAGATTTATGATATCATTAATATGAGTACCCCTTTCAATGATGCAAATTAGAACCCATCCATGTCAGCCCCATAAGTTCATATAGGCCACTCAAACTTCTTGGGAGCCTTCTTTGCTTTCTCTTAGCAAAGTGAGGATGCTAATGGACACACAGGCTATTCATTGCTTAGCCTTCAATTTCACCATGTGACCAACTCGTCTTTTTTTGCTTGTATGTTTTTTGATGGCATGCTTAGCTTTATTCCTCCTTTAAAATTCTCTGTTGGTATTGTGTTGTAGACTACTCATCCTTATCATAGGCTGTTCCATTGTCATTTGGTGATGTTCATTTTCAGATTTTTTCAGATTAGCCATATAACAATTGACCACAGCTGGTCTACCTACTTCTTTTGATATTTCATGGATACCATTGGAGGATGTGACCTGTCCATGGTTATCTCCCTCTCTCACCATGTGACTGGCCTGACATTTTATTTTCTTCTGGTCCTACATTTTATAGGATCATAGATTTTGATCTTGAAGGGATTTAGATGTCACCTAAACCCCTCATTTAACAGATGAGGAAACTGAGGCCCAGAGAAGGCAATTTGCCTGAGGTCATAGAGGTGAAAGATGTAGGATTTGAACGTGCTCTTGCCACTAGACCACTGCTTCTCTGATGACATCTTCACACTATTTCCTCTGTGCAATTCCTCACTAGTAACATACCAGGGTCTGATTGCACTCACTATGTGCCTTTCCATTGACCTTTGGGTGATCTTCAACTTCATTTGTTTAGAAACTTAGTTTTCAATGGATTTCTGTAATGAAACGTCACTGGAAGACTTTTGCTGTCAATAGAAGGTGGTCCTATCCCAAACATAAGTTTACCTAGGAGGCCATGAACTCACATTCCTCCACTGAATCCTCTAAGGCTCAGAAAGCCATATTTGAATTTCAAAGCCAGCAGAAAGAAGAGGTCCGAAGGGGATCACCCTTGCAGTATAGCCACTGAGATCCATCTTAGCAGCCAATTAAGAAAAACCTTACAGCTGATCTGGGGTGGGCAGAAGATATCTGTGCTTGGACTGATGTGGGGGTGGGGGTGGAGAATCCCTACATCACCCATTCCCAAGAGGGCTGTGCCACAGTACTTCTTCACAAACACCCCCTAAGGTTGGTAATATAACTGTTATCAGCCCCATTTCACTGGGTAAGAAGCCCAGGCTCAGGGAGGCTAAGTGATTTGTCTGAAGTTATTTTCTCATGCTGGTAAACAATAAATTGCAGGTCCAGACATGAATACAGGTCTTTGGTCTTCAAGTCCAATGCTCTTCACTACTCCATGGTATTTTCATATTACTTCACTATCCATTCATTTGTTGGTCCGACGTTTCTGTTCTGCTGAGGCTTCAGTGGAAAGAACGCTGGATTGGGGGTTGGAGAACCTGGGTTCAAGTTCCAATTACTCCTCCTTTGGGACCTTAGGCAAGTTGATTAATCTCTCTGGGCCTCAGTTTCCTCATTTATAAAATAAGGGAGTCAGACTAGATGATCTCTAAACTCCCTTCCAGTCCTAATCTAAGATCCTTTGTATTAGTTATGCTTGTTTATGTTGTCCCTTTTAGACTACAAGCTGTTGGAGGGCAAGACTGGTGTCTATGTAATTTTGTATGGAGCCTAATGTTGTATCATGCCAAATGAGGCCTTTGATTGGGGAGTAAACAAGGACTGCCGCTCTCTAGGGAAGCCATCCATAATTGAAAGTATATTCTGTAGGCATTTCCCTAGCCACAATCACTGCTTCCATCAGCTTATACATATCCATGTGCCCAGGAAGACCAAAAAATACAGGAGAGTCAGTTTACTGTAGGATCATAGATTCAGAACTAGAAATTACCTTAGAAACCATAAAGTTCACTTCTCTCTCTTATCTTACAGGTGAAGAAGCAGCAGCCCAAAAATGTCCTATGGCAAGTCAAAGATCGAACAGGCATCTAGGCGGTGCAGTGGATAGAGTGCTGCTCCTGGAGTCAAGAAGACCTGAGTTCAAATCTAGTCAGCTGGGTGACCCTGGGCGAGTCACTTAACTTCTGTTTGCCTCAGTTTCCTCATCTGTAAAATGAGGATGAAAAATAGAACCTACCTCACAGGTTTGTTGTGAAGATAAAATGAGATAATAATTGTAAAGGGCTTAACACAGTGCCTGGCATAAGCACGATATAAGAGTTAGCTATTATTACCATTAGTAGTCAATAGCAGAACTTGGCTTCAAACAAATATCTTCTGACTTCAGGAATCTTTCAATTCAGTCCAATCTAATCACATTCAATAAAAATTTATTAAGCCCCTACTAAGTGCAAGGAGGCACTGTGTCAGGTGCTCAGAATATAGAAACAAAAATGAAATGTGCTCTGTGTTCAAGCAGTTTACAAATGGATACATGGAAATAAATAAAAAGTATATATAAATACTGAAATAGATTAAAGTTATATAAACAAACTTAAAGAAATAAAAGCAAATATAAATGAAGAGGAACAGAATAAAGGGAAAGGGAATTAGCATGTATATAGCACCTACTGTGTGCCAGGCACTGTGCTAATCACTTTATAAATATTACGTCCTCTTATTCTCATAACAACCCTGCAAGGTAAGTGCTATTATTATCTATCTCTTGATGAGACTGATGCAGACAGAGGTTAAGTGACTTGTCCAGGATTATAACAGCTAGTAAATTTGTCCTGAGGCTGGATCGTGAACTCTAGGCCCAGGACTCTATCCACTGCACCACCTAAGCTGCCCTTTCTGTTGTTCAGCTGTTTCAGTCATGTCTGACTTTCTGTGACCTTATTTGGGGTTTTCTTGGCAAAGATACAGGAGTGGTTTGCCATTTCCTTCTCTACCTCATTTTACAGATGTGGAATTGAGGCAAACAGGGTTAAGTGACTTGCTCAGAGTCACATAGCTAGTAAGTGTCTGTGGCCAGATTTGAACTCAGGAAGATGAAAGTGACAATAACTAGTGGGAAGGATGGATTAAGAATGGGACAGCTAGGTGGCACAGAGGAAAGAGTACCAGGTCGAGAGTCAGGAAGACTCATCTCCCTCAGTTCAAATCCAAACCTCAGATATTTACTAGATGTGTGACCTTGGGCAAGTCACTTAACCCTGTTTGCCTCAGTTTCCTCATCTGTAAAATGAGAAGGAAATGGCAAACCACTCCAGTATCTTGGCCAAGAAAACCCCAAATGGGGTCATGAAGAGTCAGACATGACTGAAAAATGACTGAAAAAAAACAACAAAAAGATCAGGAAAGGTCTCAAGTGAAATCTGAATTGTGACTCAAAGGAAGCCAGGAATTCTGTGAGGTGTGTGTGTGTGTGTGTGTGTGTGTGTGTGCACGCACGCGGGCACATGGGTGTGGGTGAATTCCAAACACAGGGTACCATATCTATAAAGGCCTGGAAGCAAGAGATGCAATCTTGAGCTTGGGAACTCTAGGTTGGAAGTCTGAAAGACCTGAGTTCTAGCTCCTTGCTATATCATCTTGGAGAAGTAGTTTACTTTCCCTGGCTTTCAATCACCTCTACTGCCAAATGGCGATGTGAATATCTGCTTTATCCACTTGACAAGAATGTTGTGAGGATGAAATAAAAAAATGAAACTGAGAGTCATTTCAAGAACGTAAAGTGACAAAGAAATCAGTTCTGGATTTGGAATTCAGAAGACTTGGGTTTGGATTCCAGCTTTACTCCTTGCTACTCTCATGACCTTGGGCAAGCCATTTAACTACAAAAGTGGTTTTTGCTTCTCTAAAATGGAAGGGTTGAACTTGACGACATCCCTTCAATATCTAAATCTATAATCTTATGAAGGCTTATTCTTATTCTGGTTAATGGAATAATTGTTCTTAGTTTCTGCCAGGTTTCCCTATCATTTCCTATCCACGACCTTAACTGGTCTAGCTGACTGTTGTGG